GAGATGGATTGGCCAGGTGGAAGCATTGATGGACTCAAGAGTGGCAACAGTAGTGAGGTTGGCCCAGGATCTGACATTGTTTGGTTCTATACTGTGCATAGTGTCTCTATGAGTCGGTGCCGACTCGATGGCACCTAACAACAACAACATAGACACACAGAGACAGACATCTATTTAGTCTGCCATTATTTTATTAGTATGAAAATGAAAGCAAGGAAAATCTGGAGAGAGGACTTATTGAAGAAGAGATTTTAATAAGAGTTGTGGAGTTATAAGTACTGACAAATTATAAAAATCTGTAATAAATAACTAGTAGAAAATCTTAACTGAAAGACAATTAGATTGTGAAATGCTCTTTCTAGATAACTGGGGAAAGTTGTTTTGCTTAAGAATTTTAAAAAGGCTTTATAAAGCACTGTGGGGAGGAAGGGCTCTATAGACAGTGACCCAGAAAGGGAGAGATTAGGTAATTAATTTCTTACCTAATGTCTGCAATCCTAACTCTTAAGCATGTGTTATCTACTTTCTGCTGTTTTCTATTCAACTCAAAATGTTACTCCATAACTGGACAGGGTCTGTTTGGTAGATTTCACTTGTTCTTTTTGCTCTTTGAGTCAAATCCCCATGTGGTCCTCGATGCCAGTGTTCACAGTAACACCTTTCCGTACAAAGGCTGGTATGAGCTGACTGCTTTTAGACCTTGTGCGAAATGGCATGAAACCTCATGGTTTTGCAGAAAGTGCCCTGAGGGAGTCTTAAGGAATGCACACAGAATGGGTCTGCTATGAATTGTTCAGGGATTTTAGTAAAGCTAATCACTTGATTCAAGAATCACAGAGAGAGTAATGGCTCTTGTACGGGTCTAATCTCATCAGAAAGCCAGGCTTGCCACCTGCCCTTTATCAAGTGTGCTTGCCAGATTGAGGACTGGGGTTTGGCTATTTCTTTGTTTCACAGGATATGGACTTTTGATCAGATTTGAGGGAGGATGGAGAAATTAAAACATTTTTACTATGTGGTTGTTGTCTGCTGTCGAGTCACTTCTGACTCTTAGCGACCCTGTAAAGGTTTTCCAAGGAGAGGCTGGTGGGTTTGAACCTTCACTCCAGTGCTTAACCTATAGCACCACACCAAGAGTAGAAAGCTATTGTTTTCCAGAAATTAGATTCATTACAGTAAAAGGTTATCACAATGAGTAAAAGTTCTTACTCTTATTGGTCATTTTTCTACTGAATAACAATTGAAACTTATTTATGACTCATCTAAACATTTCTTGAAAAAGATTGTAATCAGTTAGTCCAAGGGACCAATGGAACATATGAACATCAGTCTCCACAGCTTTTAGATCAAAATAACTCTATGGTGCCTGGCTACCACTATCAAAAGCTCTAAAGGGGAGCACATTAGAAGGTCTCAGGTAGAGTGGAAGAAAATGTGGAATCAACTCAAAATTAAAAAAAAAAAGACTGGGCTTACTGGTTAGGAAGAGACCGGAGGAACCCAAGACTATGGCCTTTGACCACCATTCAGATCTAGGAAGGAACTCACCCTTGTGGCCCAATTTCCAGCCAAGCAGTAGATAGGTATATAGAGGGGAACAACACTAGTAAGGTATGCTAACCATGGGATAGTCGATCATTCACAATCAAACAGGAAACATTTACCTAAGGACCAAGTTGAGAAAGGATGGGAGGAGGGTGGGTAGAATGGAACTAGGAACCGCAGAGAGGAAACAGGATGAGTGTTGTTCCATGGAGGGGACTGCAATCATTGAGATGATGCAACGTGTATGATTTGTTGAATGTAAAACTGATGATCTTGTCTATAAACCTTCACTCAATTCAGCATAAAAAGTTTTAAAAAATACTGTTTGTGCCCTTGGTTTGGTCTATTTTTCTGGATGGAGTAAGGCAGTATACTGCTATGACTTTCTTCCTTTATCACCCCAAATCCCTCAAGCAGTTTGTGTTGACAGCCCCCTGTAATACCTCAGGAGCTATGGGCAGTGGGGACTTGTCAGTTTCACATATAAAAAATGGTCCGGTTGTGGAGAGCAGCAAGTTCACGGGCAGGGTGGAAACGTTCTTTATGGCCAAGGGCTGATAATTAGGTTCCAGGATGGTGTTAGGTTTCTGTGAGAAAGGAAAAAGAAGAACCAAACCAAGTTATGGTAAAAACTAAGCTTACAGCAACAAAAGTTTATTATTAATAGCAGAATTAGAAATGTCATACACACACACACACACACACACACACACACACACACACACACATATATATATATATGTTCTAAGGAGC